TCCGTTGCCGGTCACGAAAAAAGACAAAAAGACAAAAAAAAAAAAAAAAAGATGTCAAAATAACTGAGTGCCTAGTATGTGCCAGGCACTATGTGGGCACACAGATAAATAAGACACTTCCCTGTGCTCAAATTTCTTTCATTCATTCAACAAATACTTAAAGAGCACCTACTATGTGCCAGGCGCAGTCCTCCCATAAAACACACATTCATTCATTCATTCAGTTAATCAATCAGCACATGCTCAGTCACTCCCCCACTATGTGCCAGACCTTGTGCTGGGGACAAAGGTGGGTAAGACAAGCTGGAAGATCTGGGGTCCCATCATGAGCTTCCTGAAGTCCTCCCTGACAAGGACACTATTCTACATCTGCTAAACTCAAACAGTGGTGTCCCTGACAGTGCCCTCAGCTCGGGTAGTGGCTTTCCCACTTGCTCTCAGCCTGGTCCCCATACCAATGGATGGCTGGGTTGTGGTTCCCCAGGGAGGACACTGGGTCAGGGGGATTGCCAGAGTCAGTGTGGACAGAGTGCATGAATTCCCACTGCACCATCAGCACTGACGCCAGTCTGTCTACACCAGCTGGCTGGGCCACAGCACATGCTTGTGGTTTTGCACTAAGGCATCACCAGCCAGTCAGAGCGGTTTTTGATCAGACACTCGCCTGCAGACCAGCTGGGGCTCAGAAGCTCAGCTGCCCACGGGGAGCCTCCCCCAGGCCAACCTGGGAGCAGCAGGCAGCCTCAAAGGGCTGGAGAGTGACAGCAACCTTGGGCTGTTTCAGACAGACTGTGGACCTGGCTAAGCCCCTGACCCTTGCTGGGCCTCAGTTTCCTCCTCTGCAATATGGGATTGATGTTTACATGCTTCCTGGATGGCTGTGAGGTTTAGAGGGCACGGCATGTGGTAAGCACTCAGTATTCGGCAACTAATAATAACAACCATAAATGAAGGGACAGCCCAGCCTGTGCCCATGGGAGAATTCCCACGGAGGGATGCCTCAGCAGAACCAGTGCCTTCCTGCTCAAGCGCCACCATTTATTACACACCTACCTGGCCAAACTGAAACTAAAGAAAAGCCCTTGTTTTTCTGCCAAAGCCTGCAGGCTCATTCTCTTGGCTCCGTGCATGGCTGTTGTCCTTTACACAAAGCCTTGGTGATAAGCCAGGCCTCCCCAGCTGCCCGGGCACCGTGGCCAGAGGATGGGGATGCGAGAGGGACATGCCATGTGTTTGGTACAAGAGAAAAATGAATAAGGGGCTCAGGCATGATGGGAAGACCAGGCTTGCAGCCAAGGGGCACGGGCATGTGGACTGAGGCACTAAATCCCCCTCGGCTCCCTCCTTGACAGGGGCAGGGAGAAGGGCACAAACAGGTCCTGACAGGGCTTTACAGCCACTGTCTCCAGACCTCACAGCCACTCTCTCTCTGCCAGAGGGGGAAACTGAGGCTCAGACACGCGAGGCCCAGCTGGAAAGTGGCACCACAGGGATTCAACTCTAGCATGTGTGTTTTCCACATGCTCTCAGCTCCTAAACAAGGAACTTTCATAAACATCTGGGGGTTTTCGGTGTGGGCGTGGGTGTGGCACCATGTGTGTTAGCGTAAGACGATGCACAGCTGAATCTTCTTGTCACTTCTGATACCCTCTGTCGAGCCAGCACTGAGAACCTGAGCCCCAAACAAGTAACAACATTTCCAGCAATTCCAGCATCTGACATCTTCTTACCAAAAATCACCAGTCGAACAGCACTTCCCTCCCCTCTGCCGATTCCAGGACTTTCCCAAGCCCCCCACTGAGGCCAACCCCACAGCACTCGGAGGCAGTATGTGCTGAAGAAGCAGAGCGGGTTTAGGGTCAGACAATCCTGAGTTCAAGTCTCTTGCCTTTGCCATCTTTAATTTATGTGAATTTGGGTAGATGTTTTCACCTTTTGAAGCCTTGGTTTACTCATCTCTAAAATGGGTATGATGATAGTTTACCTAGCAGGGTTTCTGTGAGGATTAGAATTCACAGATGAAAAGAGCCTGGTCTGTAGCAGCCGGGTCATGACAGCTCTCTGACCCCAGCCACAAGCTTCACAGAAAGCCCTTGACAGGTTTTAATATTCATATCAGGTTAACAGAATTTTGTTTGAATATAATCAATGTATTTTGCAGGGAAAGTACTTTTCAAACTCAGAATGAGTCACAAGCAAAGTCTGTCAGGGCGGCTCTTGAATAGGTGCCCACACCCCTGTGGTCTGTGCCCGCCTCTATGACCTGGCCTGTCTGAGCCCAGGGGCAGAGGGCACAGCTTAAGCAAGGGTACAGTGGCTCGCATGTGCTGCAGGGGGCAGGGGTCAAGGACATAGTGCTGGTGAGGACGGGAGTGGCCTACTCCACCTGTGTTTGAGGAAGGGGATTCAGGCTGCAGTGGAGGTGACAGCTGCATAGGAAGCAGGAGGAAGGTGCTGGCTGGGCTGCATCAAGGACAGGTAAGAAGTGAAGGGAAGAGCTGGTACAGGGACCAATGGGTAGAGAAGAGGGTCCTGGAGCCAGGCTACCTGGGTTTCAGCCCTGGCTCCCCCAATTACTAGCCGTGTGGCTTCAGGTGTGTTACTTAACCTTTCAGAGCCTCAGTTTCCCAATCTTTAAAATGGGAATAACAGCATTACCTACTCCATAGGGCTGGTGAATGAGTTACACATAGGAAGAGTGATGTAAATATTAGCCAATATTATGTGAGACATTCAGGGGATAGAATGACAGGGCTCAGTATCTGTCGAAAGGAGGAGAAAAGAAGGATTTTTGAGGCACCTGTGAACTTGGGAGTTCCCCATCCTTTCTGAGGAGAAGTGGGCAGTGACTTCTTCCTGGTCCAGCCCTGGCCAGCTCCACCCACCTCTCCAGGGCCAGAAGAAGCACTGTGACCTTGACCCACCACTCCTCCGTGCTGGAGAGAGGGCTAGCCTGGGCATGCTGGCAGGAGCCCTGGGCTAGCTCCGGCCTCTCCTTTCCTCCACACCCACCACTAGGCAGCTCATTCTCAGAGGAATTGAGAGAACTCAAATGAGATCAGGCCTTCTGTTTTTCCTTTACTCCCCAACTTCTCAGTCTCCTGCCTCCCATCCATGGCCAGGGAGGCCACCCAGACATTTACTGCTGTTCTCCCACTGTCGGAGTCCAGGCAGCGGGTGACGTTTTCAAGGAAACATGCCAGGCACCCCATGGACACCTTTCTAGGACCACAGATGCCCAGCCTGCGATGGGGGAAGCCAGGGGCTGCCACTGCTATTACTGACAACAGCAACGACGACGACCATGCACACTCCCTTAGAGTGTTCCTCGACATCTTGTTTAAGCCAGAGTCTGGCCCAGGGCTTGGCGTACAGGAGGTACTCCATTGGTGTTTGTCGAATGAGTGAATGAATGAACAGCTACCAAGGATATGCCCAGCACTACGCTAAGTATTCAACAAACATTTTCACATTTAATCCCTAAAACCACCCTATGAAGTGGGTTTTATTCTCATTTCACAGAGGAGGAAACTGAGTCTCGGTTGCCCAAGACTACCCAGCTAGCCAAGAGTAGGGCCAGGTTTCCCACCTCCGTCTCTCCCATGCCAGAGCCCATCTCATCACCCCCACACTATTACGCAGTCACTGGGGGAGGCTTGGCTGACAGGTGTGGGGTAACAAACTGCATTGTGAGCCAGGTATGGGTCAGGAAGCCCAGGTTGTGGCCTTGCTTCCAGGGCACACTTGCTGTGTGACTTTCAGCGAGTCACGGGCCCTCATTGAGCTTCCATTACCTTGATGGGGAGAGGAAGAACCCGCACTTGTACAGGGTGAAGAACCCACTGCTGTGAGTCCGGCATCTCCCAGGGCTTCTGGGGTCTTACCTCTTGAGCTGCTCCCTGGCAGTGGCTACAGCAGCTGCAGCCTGGCACCTGAGCCAACCACATGCTCCTGTATCAGCAGAACCGGCTCTTCTAGCATCACCCAACCTGCCCCCCAAGCCTCTCAGAAGGTCTCCCTCTCACCTGCAGACATCGAGCTGAGTCAAGGTGCCCAGCACACACACGGCATGGGTGGTCTGCTCTGGGCCCACACGGATCACTGTCCTCTGGGCCATCGTTTGGCCAGCTTGTCCCTCCAGCTGTAGGAAGCCCCTGGGCTGGTTCCTTTATACCTCCCCGCAGAGGCCATGAGTCAGCACCTGCGGTCTGTGGGCCAGCGGCTCAGCCCCTCCCCACTCAGGTTCTGGGCGTGTGCTCCCAGCCCTCCTCTGCTCTGGAGAGGCCCTTTGGACCCCTAGATGGGTGTCAATGCCAGAATCAGTGGCAGGCTGGCTCTGCTAGTTTCCTGGGAAGGGCCGAGGGCTCAGAAAGCCTTGAGGGGAGGGGATGTGAGGCCCTTTGGACCCCTAGATGGGTGTCAATGCCAGAATCAGTGGCAGGATGGCTCTGCTAGTTTCCTGGGAAGGGCCGAGGGCTCAGAAAGCCTTGAGGGGAGGGGATGTGGTCAAATTCTGGTGCCCATAGCCCCATCCCTGTCTGGAGGCCATGAACATCTGGATCCATCCAATCATATCTAACTGTGCCAAGCAGGGGTGTGTATCAGAGAGGAGAAGGCGAGAAAAGCAGGGAGATTTTAGGCACAAAGTCACAGCCCAGGCTATACATTCAAAAACCAACCAGGCTTGGGACAAGTTTCCCCAGTTGGGCCACACACAGGACAGCTCACCTTCTTGGGTGTTTTCTCTGTGCCAGGTGACTTTCTCTGCACTTTACATGCAACAGCTCAGTAAGTCAAGCCTGTGAGGTGGTACCCCCATTTCATCCTCACAGCAGCTCTCTGAGGTCAGTGCCATTATCATTCCCATTTTACAGACGAAGAAACTGAGGTGCAGAGAGGTTACACAGCTAGGAAGTGGTGGGGCCAGGATTTGAACCAAAGTTGTCCAGCTCCAGAGTGTGGGGTTTATTGGCTGCCGGTCCACGTGACACGCATTTTTCAGACTTTTCACATCTACTTCTCACTACCGTGCAAGGTATATATGGACTTACTATTGCAACCCATTTTACAGAAAGGAAAATTGAGGCTCAGAGAGGAAAAGTGACTTGCCCAAGGCATCATGGCTAATGTGTGGCAGAGATGTGAGGGGAAGGTGAGTTTCCTGACCTGGAAGCCAGTGCTCTCTGCATGCTCCAGGATGCCTGCCTCTTGCCAAGGCCTCTGGGTGTCAGACTAGACAGTGCAGGTGTGTGTCACACCTGCCTTGGGGATACGCACACAGCTATGGAGCTCTGGTTGCACCTGGGCCATTGGTGCCAGGCTTTGCCCATCAGTGGGAGGATGGGTGGGTGGGGAGTGGACAGGTCCCAACAGGGAGTTCCCAGAGAAGGCGTGCATGGGGACCTGGAGTTCAAATCCTGCTTCACGCCAACATCCCCATGAAGTGGGTCCTATCATGATGACCTTGTTACAGAAGAGGCCACTAAGGCTCAGAGAGGCTAAATGACACTCCCAGGTCCCACAGCCCCTACGGTGGGGATCCAGGATCCAAACCATCCTCTCTAGGCTCAAAGTCCATTTTCTGTACCAGGAGATGATGCATCCAGGCCTGATGTTCTGATGTGTCTACACAACTACTTGCACACAGTAGGTCTTCATAAACCCAATTTCCCTGGCTGGTCATATCATTAGACCTAATTTAAGTTTCTAATGGAAAGGAGCATGAGGGAGCCATCGATTGTCAGAGAACACCAAATGCAGATGGGGAGACTGAGGCAAAGAGAAGGGAGACTGAGGCAAAGAGAGGGGGTGTGACCTGCCCACGGTCACGCAGCAAGTCAGTGGGAGGGCTGGGCTCTATCCCAAGTCTTAGGTCTCCTGAGTTTTCTTTTGTTCCTTTTTTTTCTTTCTTTTTCTTCAGCATTTGGGGTTTTAATTTGCTGTGACTAAGCCACAAAGAGGATAAGCCCAAAAGCAGTTTTGTTAATTCAACAAATATTTATAGAGTGCCTACCAATTGCCAGGCACTGTGGCAGGCACTGGGGACACACAGTAGACAAAACAGACAAAAACCCTGTCCTCACAGGGCCTTTTTTCTAATGGAAAGAGACAGCCAGTAAGCAATAAATACAGTAAGTGAATTATATAGAATGACAGTGCTATAGAAAAATGAAAACATAGAACGGAATAAGGGCCACCAGGAGTGCAGGGCAAGAGGCCGACTGCAGTTTTAAATAGGGTGCTCAGAGAAGGTGACACTTGAGCAAAGACTTGAGGGTGGTTATTTGAGGGCAGGACTTTCCAGGTTGAGGGAACAGCCATTGCAACTAGTGCAAAGGCCCTGGGGCAGGGACATAACGGGGGGGGGGTAAAGAAAGAGCAAGGACGACAGTGTGGCTGAAATGCGGTGAGGGAGGGGGAGATAAGTGGAGGGGGGTCGTATAGTGTCCTTTGGGCATTGTGAGCACTTTGGCTTCTACTCCAAGTGACATGGAGAGCTGTGGGGATGACTTGAGCAGAGGAGGACCATGAAGGGACTTGTCTGGCTGCTGTGGGAGAATAGATTATAGGGGACAATGGAGGAGGCAGGGAGCCCAGTGCAGAGGCTGTCACAGTCTGACAGGCAAGAAGTTATGGGAACTCAGGCCGGGGACAGTGGAGGAGATGAGAAGTGGTCAGATTCTGGACATTTTGTGGCAGTACAGCCAATAGGACTTGCAGATGAACCAGATGTCGGGTATAAGGGAAAGAGGAATCAAGGATAACTCCAGGGTTTGGGGCCTGAGCACCGGGAAGGATGGAGCTGCCCCCAGCCGAGCAGGGAGGCGGGGGACGGGCAGGTGGCAGGCAGTGTGGCAATCGGGAGTTGGTCCTGGCTATGCCAAGTGTGGGTGGGTGTGGAGATGCCCTGTAGGACGGTTGGACACATGATTCTGGAGTTTAACAGACAGGATTAGGCTGGAAACGATAAACCTGTGAGATGTCAATATCTCTGGCACCCCTAGGGATTGAGTGTGGATGGAGAAGAGAGGAGGCCAAGGGATGAGCCCTGGGGCTCTCCACCAGAAACCAAGAGGAGCAACCAGACAGAGGAGAAAGGAAAGAGAGCAGATTGTTATTTGCCGTTTCATAGGGGCAATGAAAACCTGGTTTGTAGTGCACATGCACACACACATGCAGAGGGGAAGCAGCTGCACTTTGGAAGCAAAGCCTCTCTGCAGATACACACTGGGTCACTCACGGCAGAGCAAGGGCAGTAGGCACTGGGATGAACAGGAATGAGGACAGGGTCCCTGGGACAGTGGAAAAAAAGACAGATAGATGCGGGACTGCCATGGCACCACACACACCTGCATCCCCGCTGCATTATTACTTGGCTGCTCCCCTACTGTTGGATGTAGAGGCTTTTTGCAAATTTTCAGTATTCATGCTGCAATGCATGAATCATGCCCACATCTATGGTTATTTGCAACGATTTTGTAGATTCGTCTTTGAGCCTCTCTGGTCTCTTGCAGAGCATTTTGGTATTTTCCTGAAATTTGCCACAGCCTGTCTTTAAACATCTGTCCCCCAACTATCCATGACAGCAGGGCCTCTGTCTGTCTTGGCTGCATCCCAAGTAGGTGGTCACTAAACACTGTGGCTGAACACCACAGTTGTTGTGTCCCTGAGAACCCAGCCTAGTTGTTACTTTTGCTGAAGGCATTAACCCTGTCAGAGCCCAAAAGGGGCCTTCGGAAAGCAAACTCTCCTGCACAGGGGGGTGACTGGCTCAGAGTCCAGGCCGGAAACCCCGGAGGAAGGGGCGCCTCTTCCTGCTGAAAGGCAGAATCACCAGCCCAGCTCACCAGGAGGAAGTAGTGAGGGGGTTCTGAGGGTTGCCTAATGCCCTCTGGGTGTTTGGGGCCCAGATTACTGGATACTTGAGCTGCTGTCCCAGTGACTGGTCTGGCTAGCCTGCTCCAAGAGATTGTGATCATGTCATTCTGGGGAAAGGAATTGGGGTCAGGGAGCTCTCCCAGAATCTCCAAACTAGGTATAGTGCAGTGTCATATTCAGAGTAAGTGGCCTAGCTGTTCCTTCAGTTTATTTATTTGTAAATACAGTTAAGGTTCATTTATTTAGCTGTTCATTCAACAGATATTTGTCAAATGCCTCCTAAGTGCCTGGCCCTGTCTCAGAAGCTAACTTAGGCTTTGTTTAACACAGATTTACAGGTACCCAGGATGACAACAAAGGCCACTTTCTATTAAGACTTGCTATATGCCACACCTGTCACTGGGTCCTGGAGCTAGCTTATTTCTAGTTCTCACCATAACCCGTTGGGGCAGTGATTACAACCTCATTTCCACAGAGGAGTGAAGCACTGTGTTCATGGCCACGTGGCTTCTAAGCAGCTTTGAAACCCAGCTTTGTCTAACACGCTCTGCCCTGATGTAGCCCTGACCCATGCCAGACCCCTGACATGCATCATCCTAATCTTCACAGCAACCTTAATGTCTCAATTTTACCCTCCCCATTTTCCAGATGAGGAAACTGAGTTGGGGAGGGGTTAGGTAACTCACCCAAGGTTGCACAGACAGGAAGTGGAAGCGCTCAGGTCTGACCTCCAAGCGTCCTTGTCCCACTCTGCAGCCCATGCAGCTGCCCCCAGGCCAGGTCCCTGGGCTGATGAGCTCTGAAGTCCCTTCCAGCACAAGACCCCCCAGGCCTCTCGGCCTCTCTGACTCCATCACTTCAAGCAGAAAATTGGGAGCATGTCTAGACCCTCCAGACTGGGTGAAACAGAAAAATCTCCCTGCCTGCTAAAGCTTCCATCCAGATGTGCCCTGCCTGCTGTGTGTACGTTCTGGGTGGGGGTGGGGGTCTTTCCACCTCTCTCTGCTCACACAGCCCCGCCCCAGCCCAGCACCTCTCTCTGCAATTCTTCCTTACCTAGAAGGTTTCATGCACACACAAGGGCAGGCTATCACTATGCCATCTTTGAGAAAAGGAGGGTGACCCAGACAGATGAAGGCCAATGTCCCTGCACTTCTTTCTAAAGCTGGCTCTTACCCCGTTCTTGACCCCAGATGCCCACAATTCCTTCTCCAGCACCTAGGATTTCTCCCGGGGACC